CAAAGACTTTCAGGAAAAACTCATTGTACACAATATGGAAAAATGATTTTATGCTAAAGCAATTGTAGGTTAATAGGCTATATATAGGCTTACATGACTAAAATGTGTGCATTTTCCTAGATTAATGGGGTGACACCGCTGGCACATCTTACCCCACTTTCCCCTGTATACAGTATATAGCTGGTCTTTCCCTTCTATTCTGGTTTCACAGCTTTACATTAACTCTTGTTTTGTCTTTGTCTTTGCAGTGATTCATCAGACCATGGTGGCAGGAAGAGAAGTTTCAGCAGCGACAGCAGTGAGGATGATGATGGTGATGTTGAAGTACAGCAGACACAGGTGGGCAGAAAGAAGCCCAGGAAGGAGTCCACAGCAGCTCCTCTGGACACTGGCCTGTCGCTGGCCGAAGACGAGGAGCTTGTGTTACATTTATTGGGCAGTCGCAGCTAGTTCCTTTGGAAAAAAGGTTCCTATACCCATCTTCCCCTTCAGAGTTTCTTATTCATTGTAATTGTATGTTGAATATTAAGAATGCCCCTTTACTAATAAAAATATTCCTGATTGTGATGGAAACTTTAAGATTCAGTGCTGCACATATTTTTGTGATTTATTGTGTGAGTGTGCAGGTTATAATTTCCTTTCCTGCCTCTTCCCTTCTTTACATCCTCTCCTCAAGACAGGAATTGAATTCTCATGTGGCGTCTTGCCAGACAGCCTCAAATTACCTAAAAACTCCTGTTTTGCAGTGAAGCAAAAAAAAAGCAGCGTAGCTGATGCCAATCCTGATAGAGAACCACTGTGAAGTCCCAGGTGCCATCTATAACCTATTACTGTTAAACTGCTCTCATTATTTCTGGTTTGAATATTGCCTTCCTGTCACATTGAACTGTCACTTAATCTGTGACTTACTCTCACTCATTTCTGCTGGAAATGGAGGATTCTCTAAGAAAACTTTGGTTTAGTGGCTGTTGTCCCCTATTCAACACAGATCTATCTTTCTGAATTGTCTTTTTGTCTGTATTTAGGTGGCTCATGTCGAGAGGGAGATTGGATTGGGTTTATACTATACAAAAAGCCACCGTTTAGCACCAGCATAACCTTGCATTGTGCCATGGTGACCTTATTCACCCTGTTTTTAGATCCGTTAATGGCTTCTCAAAATCCTCTGGAGATATAATTATTCGCCCACTCTGATTTGGCAGCCAGTTTTCCACAATCACTGTTATATAGCATAGGTGTCCTGAGTCACTCCTGCTATACAGTACCACAGTGAATATACTTGAGTTGTAGTTTAAGGACATATTTCTAAAAAAAAGTGTTCCAAACTTTCAGAAATATGCTCTGGTCAAGTTCACGTAATTTATTAAAGGGATAGTTCCCCCAAAAATGTTGTCATTGCTTACTCACCCTCAAGTTGTTCCAAACTTGTATGAGAACACAAAAGATATTCTAAAGAGTGTTGGTAACCAGACAGATGCCAGACGCCATTGACGTCCATAGTTTTTTTTTTTTTTTTACTATAGAAAGTCAAAGGCTACCGTCAACTGTTTGGTTACTGTAAAATTGTGTTCAACAGAAGAAAGAAACTCATAAAGGTTTTGAATAACTTGAGTGTGAGTAAATGATGACAATTTTCATTTTTGGGTGAACAGTCCTTTTAATTATCACTTATTAGCACAATGAAAAGATTATTAACAGGATAGAAAATAATAGGATGGAAATAAAAATCTAAAGTTAATCATTGCTCAATGAGGGATTGAGTTTGCTTACATGACGCTGTCGACTTTTTATAATTTTTACCTTTTTTTTTTAACGCATTGCAAAATACTAATACTAATGTCAAAAATAATGTATTTTTATTATATATATATATAATTTATTATATAATAATATATTTTAGTCCTTTTTTATACAACAATAATATTAAGAAATAATGTATTTCTGTACATGCTTATTATAAGGAATATAAAGATTCTAGAGAGCATTTAATTGGACAGAAAATCTGAGAAGCTGAAGTGCAGAATGATTCGAAATTATTGATCTGTGTTGGTGGTGGAGGCATATATCTTCCAAATGTGAATTTTGTCATTGTTTTGTCAAACTTGTGCTATCCAATATATCACATTAAACTGTACTACTACATGATGGGAGTGACTCTTCTCGCAGTGGGCTTGTTTAATGTTTTGACTCTCTCTGTGTAGTTCAGAGATGACTTGTTTATCATTCTTTGATTCTTATCACTTATCACCTTTCCCGAACGACTGCAGGCAGGCAGTACTCGTAGTGTTTGTGGTGGATGTGACAGGCATGCAGCTTGATGTATTATGTTTGTGTATGACTGGGTTGCATAGATTCTTTTTGTGTTCTGGGTTTGTGGGTGTAGTCATCTATCACAGACGTGAGTTTATTAGGCGCCTTCATCCTGCCTGGAAAAGCTATTTCCCTCGGTGCTATTTCTCCCCTCTAATGACTGTTTCAGCACTGAGGAGTGTGTAGCACTTCAGACATTTCTCTGTAGCAGTGTGCACCCAGAGCTTCATGCACATGTTAATGATGATACAAATTCCAGCTACTGTTTTGTTTAACAAAGAAAGGTTGTTAAAGAAATAGTTTACCTAAAAATGACAATTATTTCATCATTTATACTCTCTCTCTCTCACGAATCTATCTCTCTCTGAAGCTATATGACTTTCTTCTAGCAGTTCCATGCAATAAAAGTGCATAATGACAAAAAGCACAATTAAAACCATTATAATAGTAGTCCATGCACCTTGAGTACTGTATTCCAAGTCTTTGAAAGCGGCACAAAAGCTTTGTGTAAGAACCAGACTGAAATTTAAATCATTTTCACTGAAAACTGTCGCCATTTACTTTCATTGAATAAAAAAAGACAAGCTTGAACATTCTGCTATAAAATTTCTTTCATTGTGTTCCACAGAAGAAAGGAAGTCATGCAGGTTTGGAACGTTGGATTTTTGGATGAACTGTTCTTTTCAGGCTAATGGAAGCAGATTTGAAAAAATATTTTGTACATCTCAAAGATTAAGATGAAGCTGCGAAGTGGTTCCAAGCTAGTTGATGTCTGTTGCTTGATGTTTTAGTGGCTCTTCTGTTCCAGACCTGGTTATTAAGAATGGATCGACTGCAGTGCCTTTTGGGAGAGGATGAGATGTACCTTGTTGTCGTTAGCGACAGAAAAGCCAAGATTTATCACAACTGGTGCCTCTGATCTGGTGGATGCATTTGAGAGCGCCTCTCCATATGCTGTAATTTGTAACATTGTAGAACATTATGATCCACAACCTGAATTAATGAGATGCCCAAGGTGCTATTTACCTCTTCTACTCCCTGAATCGTTGCTTTTTATTTCCCCGTGGTGACAGCATTGTTGTGAATTATGAGGATTATGTGATTTAAATTGTAATTTTTTTTGTTGCTGGGGTGAATGGGTTCACATCTTATTATACTGTATTCTGATTCGGTCATTGCTTGTGGTTGAATCGCTTATTAGGGATAATCCACGGCTCAAGTATCAGAATCGAGTTTTCAGACAAAAACCATGGTTTAATAATTATTATTTTAAGTATATAATGGTGTAGTAAAGGACAAGTAAGTGTCTCTTTTTTTCTCTTTTCTTTGTGCAGTCTGTGTTGGGGACTTAAGTCAACCCTGATTAAAAAACCCTGTTACCATGATTTTGGACCAAAAAAAAAATCATTTAAGACTGGGTCTTTGCAAAATATCAGCATTAAATTATAATTTTTTCGAAAAAACTAGTTTCCAGAGGAGGCTGGTAATGAAATGTCAGCCTTGTTACTTTTTTAAAGGCATAGCTAGAGGTGGCACAATGCAACTGCTTAAAAAAACATTGTCTGATAGTTTAAAACCATAAAGGAATTTACATTGATATCATCTATTCAAAATGGAAAATGTATGTTTTCAGCACCGGACAGCACCATCTCTCTAGTCTAGCTGTATCTTTCTGGGGATTTGTTATAGGCTGTTGTCTCATTTAAATTCAAGTCCACGCGATCCCTCTCTGTTAAGTGTTTACTGGAGCACTTCATTGATTCACTAGCCGTTGGTGCTCCAAATGTTCCTTCTCATGGGGTTTATTTGGCCGAGTGAGCAGTCCTCGTGCGTCATTAAAAATAAATGGCGACAAATAGTAGGGGACCACGAACTGGATAGTGAATATGAGAACACTCTTTTGGGCTGCTGATTACGCGTCTGAATTAAAGAAATATGACACATTTAAGTCATTTTACCACAACTGCCAGACACTTAAGTAACTATGGTTATTCCTAGTTTTTCATCGTGGATGGAAGATGGGCTACTTTTCTTTTCTTTTTTTTAGTCGTGCGCACGAGACAGTTTTCTCATTCAAAAACTTTACCTGATTGGAGCAGCGCGCGCAGGAGTCTGACAGAACGCTTTCTGAGGTAAGACGCTTTTACCTCACGACAAATTATATTAGTTGTTAATATTTGATTTCTATCTTTCTCTCACAAATGCTGATTTATGTTATTGGTAACCACTTTACTTTGAATCGTGCCTGACAAAAACCACGGCATATGCTGAACTAGGATGTTACGAAAACGTCGCAAGGGGATGTGCTTACGTGAAGACGACATTTTTGCAACGTTGTGATTTATTTATTTCGTTATAAAAAGACAGTTGTATTAAACGTAAACCTCTCCACGAAAGGTTTTTACAGCGTTGTAGGAGAAGGCTCGCAGAATGCGTAATGAATACAGGTTACGTCAGAGATCTGTGGGAAGTCGTCTTTCCAAACCAACACCTTTTCCCACACCAATTCAGTGAACGCGACTGGGCTGTTATATCAGGTACGGATAAGACATTTATTTAACATTCTTTATCTTCCAAAAGCAATTATTGTTGTCTAGGAAGTCAGTAAATTAAATTTAAGACAGTTATTTACGTTTGTCGTCTTTTAAGTTTTGAAACATATTTTTCTCCTTTTAAGGGTTGTCATAAGAGATGGCTAATTGAAATAAATCTGGATATTTAAAAGCAGTTCTCGTGGCATTGTAAACCTGAATTCACGGATTGTGAATAATGAAGGCATCTGAGATTATGTGGGGCGCTTTTAACGGGGCATCCGAGACTAACGGGACGCGCGCGGAGAAAGTTCAGCACGTGCTCCAGCCTTTCTCGTCCACCGTTGCTCTTCTGGTGCTGGGGTTGGTCATTATAGGGATTATATTAATCTCACTGACCACCTACCACATTCACAAAAGCAAGATGAAGAAGAGGAAGATGCTAAGGGCACAGGAGGAATTTGAGCGGGATAACTGTGGCTCCTCTGTCCCGCTCAGGCAAAAGCACTCACTGAGCCGCTGCGTGATCGCTCGCCCCGCTCCACCGCAACATCCGCCGACAAACACTGACGCGAAACAGCGCGAGGGTGTCGTGTTTGAAGGACTTGCTGGATCCTCATAACGGGCCGAATGAAACATGGCGTTTGTGAATATGTAAGATGAGCAGGAAGCTTATCTTTGTTCACGTTGGGGAATATGATTGGGCTTTCTTACGATCTCCTTATGGCGGACTTTACAAAGTCTCTGAATAATGACTGTCCTTTAGTTTAATAACAGCTGAGCCTAATGTGTTATAAATGGAATTGATTTGGATGGTGGGTTTTAGGCAATCTTAAAGTGGGATTCTCCGTAGGTGCTGTCCAAGGTGCTGAATTCAATCCATTTAATCCCTCAATTTATTTGTACTTTTGAATTTGAATGGTTTAAAACGAAAAGTTTAGCATTTTACACACATCTGTCAACTATAAATGAAAGAGCAGAATGTGTTGATTTCATGTGAACATTTGTTACATGGCTGGTGGTGTAAATTGTCACTTGACCACTGGTTTAATTCCAATCTGCCCCTCTGAGGATAATGTCATAATACAGATATAACTACCAAGTTCAGTACATCATAATATTTAAAGGGCCTATTATTAATGTATCATTTAGATTGCTCTGTTCAAGATATCAGTGGTTACATTTGTGCCCCGGTGGGAAACCCAGTGTCCCACGTTGAATAATTAACTTTTTTGAATGACAAGGTATTGTTACATTAATGAAACAGCATTAAGTAATATTCACTCATTTTTACCTTTCTCTTTTTTCAAAACTGCCTGAGAACATATACAATATATGGATTTTATTTTTTGTAATGTTTTCTCACCGGCTACAATTGTGACCAAATTTGGAATCAAATGGGTTAATCCTGACGAATAAGGAGGGCACTGATGTAATACTATGAACTTTACTATTCTGCTGTTAGTAACTATTATTATTTGACTGTATATTTGTAACTGAAGATGAAACAATATTGCAGAGAGGAACTCAGTCAACTTTGTTTATCCTATGCACTTGATTTTGCCATAACCAAGCATTTAGCAGAACCATGTGTTCATCATGCCAATATCAAAGCACATTGATCTAAAAGATCATCATTAAGATGTTTCTTTCAGATTTATTCTTCTGATTAATTTGTTATTAAAGGTACTCTTACAGTTGTGATGGTTTTCTTGTACAAATAAAGCTTATTTGCCTACACATCATGCAGACAAATTGAGCATTTTTGCCACATTTATTTTTATTTAAACGCTTGTGCAAGACTTGGTACTTCTGTATTTCTGGAGTCATCTGTATAGCAGTGATCACTAAGAAGACCACATGCGTGGATGGACACTCATGAAAGCTTTTGCTTTTCCTCTGGCAAAGTTGCAGCATAATCCATGCCAAAACTACAGACCATCATTTGCGTCTTGTTATTGGAAAGCATGACAAAGCAGACCATTTCCAGACATAAATGTGTTATTTTCTTACTAGCCTGTGTATTGTCTTTGGCTCAATCCCAATTCACCCATTGGCCCTACCCCTTGTTTTACCCCTTGGCCCTTAAAACAGAGTTACAAGGGCCAAGGGGTTGAAATATTCCCCTACGAAATGGAACAACCCTTCATGAACCCGATACGTCATCAGTCGTCGGCGATGGCTCTGCCGTTACGGAGTTTTTACAGGATTTCTCCATGACAACTAGGGTGACCACCCGTCCCGCGTAGCGCGTGCGCGCACAGCGCACACCCACGTGACCTCAGTTGAACTGCTGACTAGGTTGTTGTCAACTTTTTCATTGTTGTCATGACAGCGCAGTGAGCGCACCAACTCTCTGGAGTTGTGAGTTAAGATTTTTTTTTAACTGTTCCTGTGGTGTTGAGCAACTACAATTCCTGTTAATCCTATAATTTTATATTATTACTTATTTAAAGTGAATACATTGTAATGAAAAATAAATCAAATTAAACAGCTAAAGTAAATCGTAAGTGGAAGTGCATCTGTCAATTCATTGAATGTTCAAAATATTATGAATCTTTATTTAGAAAAAAATACACATTGGTTAGCCTATTCATGAGCATACATCAGCAATTACACATGTTTAGGGGAATAGGGCATTATTAATATACCATGTAAAGTGGTATGTGCTAGAAATGGGTAAACCACTATCAGTGAGTCTGCCCGTGGGGTGGGGGCACCGCCGCGCCAGGCAGTGTCCCACATTGTCCCTCAGAAACATACCCCTTGTCCCCCCTTGGGCTTATTAGCAGGTGGTCACCCTAATGACAACGACTGACAATCAGCGCAGCTGCTCTTATAACTTTGAGGAAACATGATGCTTATAACGTTCCTTCGTCGAAATGTATGTCTTTTCTGTATCTGTATTCTGTATGACTATATCATTATTATAAGAGTAAATAAAGTGCACGGTGGTGTCATCTGGCGCTAAATTTAAATGTTTAGCTAACCGTTTGTGAAGCCATCTCGCCGGTGATTCGCTATGTATTCTGCGAACTTTCTCGTAGCCCTCCGTTTGGAGTGTGCCTCTGAAAAATCTCCGTTTCGAGGGCTATGTAGCCCTACCCCTTAGCCCTAGGGGCAAGGGGTGAATTGGGATTGAGCCTTTAAATGAGACCACACTGCGTCTCTGAATCTGATTATGTGTTTATAAAGGTATGAATCTGTACAACTAATCCAATATTTCATTAGTAATCTCAGAATTGCATTATCTATGTCTTACAATACTGGGTGATCATGTGAAACAATGATTAACAAAGAGTTTGATTTGAGAGGCTTGATTAAAAATGGCAGATTAAAAGCCTGGAATCAGCTGGATGGTGTATCAGGGTCGGGATGAGCTATCCTGGGACAATAACTTCCACGTCTCTTCCATCTCAGGCCTATAGATGCAGCGGACACTAGCACATTCTGACTGCTATTGTAACTCTTTATTTGAAAGAAAAAGAGTTGATTCCTGTAACTAAGATACAGCTCAGAGGTTTAAGTAACAGTTATAGCATAGGCTGACCCATCATTACACTCTAGAATCTGTTACAGCACGCTGCATACCTGTCAGCAACTACATGTTATCCTTTGGGGTAAAAAAAAGTATTTCACCTGCCTCTCACTGTCACAGTCATTTTGATTTATGACAGGCTGCTCTTGCAGACTTGTCAGCTCAGTAACATGAATTCACTGTTTTTCTCCCATGCGCGGATGAATAAGACTACACCGTTTTAAAATGCAATAATGATGCTCTCTATGAATGTACACAAACAAGGACATTAAATTGATCAAAAGTGGCAGTAAAGACATTTATAATCTTGCAAAGGAAATGGTGTCCTTTCAAACATTCTATTCATCAAAGAATCCTGAAAAAATGTAGAACAGGTTCCACAAAAATATTAAGCTGCACAACTGTTTTTAACATTGACAGTAATAAAAAAAGACTATAAGCAAGGCAAGTCTGAACAGTATGAATGATGCACATTTCATCAAATATAAGACTAATTAAAATTTTGCTGGAAAGCAGCTCTAAAAACGACAATAGTGTCATTATTCAGCTGAAGTTAGTTCAGTGTTGATTCAGTTCAGTTCAATAACTGAAAAGTTCATCAATTATGAAACTAATTCAATTTAGCTATAAGGCAACAGTGTCATGAATCAGCGCAGTTCGATTCAGTTTAATAACTGTCGATATTGCAAAATTCGTCAATAATGAAACTAATTAGCTATAAAGCAGCTCTACGGAAGACAATAGTGTTACGATCCAGCTCAATTCAGTTCAAGTTTTGTTCTCATCCAATAGTGTCAGTGTAGTCAAATCAATAAAAAAAGTGCCTTACTCAAATAATTACTTTCCAAATCTCAATCATATGAGACTCTCTTTAAATGTGCACATAGTTGCAGGGTTTTTGTTTCTCTCAACCTCACATACCAAGGCTGTTAAATTACTGAAACATGTTGGAGAGAAATCAGTGCCTGCAGGGGGGACGCTTGGCTGTCTGTCCGCCAGGACATGTGACTTTCACTGACAGCAAACCTTTCTGGGCGGCCCTTCAAAGAGCTGGGTATTTAAAGCACAAAGTTGGAGCTAGGCATCCTGACTGAGCACCTCGGCAAAGGCCTGGACCCCAGCTCTGAGTGCAGATATGACAGATTCAAGCTTGCGTATCAGTGGGGGAGCCGTCAGATTTGGAGCCACCTATGGAGGCAACCGTCTGTTCTCTGGAGCTAGGAGTGGTGGTGGAGGTGTTAGCATGGCTCTGTCCCGTTCGCTCGGCTTGTCGAGGGGGGGTGGAGCAGGAGCCGGAGCTGGTTTTGGCCTGGGAGGAGGTCTGGGTGTAGGTTATGGGGCTGGAGCTGGTGCAGGAGCAGGACTGGGCGCTCTCGCTTTCGGTGGCGGATTCGGCTTGGGTGCCGGAGGAGCCAGAGCAGCGGGGATGAGGGCTGGTGTGGCTCCTCTGAGAGCCCGTCTGGGGGGCAGAGTCTTCAAAATCGGAGGCTATGGTTTCAACCCGTCCTTCATCAGCTCTACCACTACGGTGGACGCAGGTGCCGGTCCAGTGCTCAGCATCGATCCCACACTCCCGTCGTTGGACACAGTGCAGATCACGCGCATGAAAGAGAAGGGGGAGCTGCAGGCCCTCAATGACAAATTTGCATCTTTCATTGATAAGGTGAGTGAAAGTTTCAGGTGGGTTTATTTACAAGCGTTTTTACAAATATCATGCTAAATTGGATTCATTTCGGATGAGTAAAAAGAAAAGATAAGGTTTTAATGACTATGACTTTGTCGTTTCACAGGCCCGGTCTCTGGAGCAGCACAACGCAGTACTAAAAGCTAAGATTTCTATGTTTACTAACCCAGAGCAGGGAGGACCTGCGAGCAGTTCCATCCTTCTGACCTCTGCCATCGGAACCTATAAATCTCAGATTGACAGCCTCACCGTTACTAAAGAGGCCATCATTGCTGAGATTGAGCACTATAAAGGCATTATTGAGGATGTTCAAGCCAGGTGAATCTCTCACTGCAGCAAAAGAAATGTACATTCATGTATAAAAATATACTAAATTTTTGGGGTCAGTAAGATTTTGTTTCTAATTTTTTTTATGCGTTTATTCAGCAACAATGCATTAAAAATGTATCAAGAGTGACAGTAAAGACATTTATAATCTTGTAAAAAAAGAAAAGAAAAGTTGTATGTTCTTTTAAACTTTCTATCAAACAAAACTCAATCGGAAGAATATCAACCAGCACAACTTTTTTCAGCATTGATAATAATAAGAAATGTTTCTTGAGCATCAAATCATATTTCTGAAGGATGACACTGCAATTCAGCTTTGTCATCACAGGAATAAATTACATTTAAAAATGTATTCAAATAGAAAACTGTTATTTTAAATTGTAATAATATTACTGTTTTTTTAATCAAATAAATGCTGCCTTGGTGAGCAGAAAAGACTTTCAAAAGCATCTTTAAAAAAATACAGCCCACAAACTTTTGATCAGTAGTTTAAAATATGGTGTTAAAGAAACATAATTGATAAAGCTAATTTTAGAAGCACTTTCATTCAATTTAAATTGTCATTACATTTCAGTGGACATTTGTAATTATATTCTGCTTAACTGCTATTCATGTAGTTCTGTCTTCTTATTGGCACTTTGTGGTTTGATTGTAATACTCTACATCAATCTAGTAATTGTACCATAATGAGTAAGGCATTTAAAGTTTCTCAAATGAGTCTGTATATGTGATTGTCACAGCCTTTGGGGTACGAAAGGTCCAGTCAAGAGGACATCTGCTAATACACCTGCACATTCTCTCCTCCTTTACTCAGGTATGATGAGGAAACCTCTCAAACCAAAACTTTGGAGCTCGATTGGACTGCGTTGAAAGAGGTATGAAACATACATCAGGAGGTTTCCCATAGATTTACAGATGAACGAGTCTCACAAATTCTCCTCCATCAGGAAGTGGATAATCTGTACCTTTCCATCTTTGAGTTGCAAACCATCATCGGTGGTTTGGAGGATCATATTGCTCTGTCCAAGCAGGTGTATGACGCTGTGAGTGTGCAGGATACCTCCATTTATTTCAACATACCTCAGTTTCATTTCAGCACTGTTAAAATACAGTGAATTATGAATTTCCCCAATGACCTAAGCTTGTGTACATGTCTGTCTGATTGTGTGTTAGAAAGTGAAAGAGGTGAGAAACATTGTGACTGGTGGTGTGAAGTCAGCAGTGTCTATCTCAGTGGATAACGCAGCCCAGGCCCAGGATCTGACCTCAGCGCTGACTGAAGTCAAAGCTCACTATGAAGCCCTGGCTCAACGCAGCAAGCAGGACGCCCTCCTCTCAGTGCAGGACAGTGTATGAAACCTTTGCTCTGTTATAAGCAAGCTATTTGAAATATTAAAGGATAGTTCTGTCATTATTTACTCACCCCCATGTTGTTCCAAACCTGTATGAATTTCTTTCTTCTAGAAGAAGATATTTTGAAGAATGTCAGTAACCAAACCCCATTGATTTCATAGTATTTTTTCCCCTACTAAGTCAATGGGGTACATCAACTGTCTGGTTACCCATTTTCTTCAAAATATGTTCTATTGTGTTCAGCAGAAGAAAGAAAATTAATGCAGGTTGAGGCTGACAGAACTATCATTTTTGGGTGAACTATCCCTTTAAATAACCAGATTGTATAGGCCTTTAACATTAGTTAACATTAAACACTAAATTTTATATAAAATTTTCAAATATAATATAATATATACTTTTATATTGTGGTTCTAATAAATGAATATTTAACAATTAAACTAAATCTAATTAAGTACATTATTTAATATAAATGTATAAATATGAATGTAAATATTAAAGATAATTAATCCTCATTTTTTATTAACTAATGCATTATTAACATATAGAATCTTATAGTAATTTGATGCTTAATATTAATATGTACATTATACGAACCTTTGGTAATGACTAATGTAAGACTGATGCATCCTTACATAGGGTGACCACCTGGTTATTGCTCTGATGCAGGACGGTAGATGCGATTTTGCTGGTCAATTTTAGTATTAACCTATATTTCTTATTGTGATATTGTCATTTCAAAAGCTCCCAATTTCGGTGGTCACCCTATCCTTACATGACTTTATAGTCTTACTTGATTCATCTTTAACAAACTGCTTCCCCCAAGTGCCGAGTCCTTGTATTGCAGGTGTAATGACATAACCACATGTTTTCGGCCAGACTGAGATCAACTTACAGCCTTTTTTCGTTTGTTCGTCTATATAGCTCACCATGATGTCTTCACAGCCAAGTTCTCACACACTCACCACAGCCAAAGAGGAGCTGCGGGTTTACAAACTACAGATTGACTCTGTGCAGAGGGAGATCGACAGGCTCAAAACTCTGGTGCGTCAAAACAAGGGAGATTAACACTGGGTAAAAGATGTCAGATTGCCCCTTTTTTGGCATTCTTGTGAATAACTGCTGCCCTCTCCAATGACAGAACTTACAGGTGGAGTCTCAGGCGGAGGAGGCAGAGTGTCACTCCAACTCCCACACGGAGACGTACCAGGATCAAGTTCTAATTCTCAGATCTCAGCTTGATGACCTCAGAAAGGTAAACTCAATTAAGACTAAATGACAATCATTATTAATAATTAAATAAAGGCGTCACTCAGACTCTACTAAATCTAAATGGGCATTTTCTTCAGCAAATTACTCATTACGGTCAAGAATATCAGGAGCTTCTAGCCAGCAAGATGTCCCTGGATGTTGAAATCACAGCTTATAAGAAACTCCTGGACAGTGAAGAGAACAGGTGAGGAGGTTTAACATGAGTTTAATGTGAGGTTTTGTTCACTCAACGATCACATCGTATCTGTCTCGTGGACCAGGTTGAGATCTGGAGGTGGTGTCACCGTGCACATGTCTAAGACCGTGGTCGGAGGAGGAGGAGGAGGAGGAGGAGGAGGAGGTCTAGGTCTGGGTGCAGGAGGTGCAGGTCTGGGTGGAGGTGCCGGTCTGGGTCTCGGAGGTGGATACGGGCTGGGCGGAGGGCTAGGAGGAGGTCTTGGGGGTCTAGGACTGGGACTCGGTGGAGGACTGGTCTTTGGAGCAGGTGCAGGAAGTTCCTACGGTGCAGGGAGTAGTTACATGTCCTCCAGCCTGAGCAGCAGTGCCTGTAAGTATTCATAAATGCTTTCATACGTGTACACCATATGTTATATACAAACATGTGTAGTGCGCTCCAGAGGTCTGAGGCCACTTTGCAAATCTGGGATTTAAAGCTGTAGTGTAGATAAACTAAAACTTTGTAAACATTATGAACATTATAATGTAAAATGACTATGTTCATCTTTTCACTTAAATTGTTCTGCTTATAATATAGTGTATAAGTGAATTATATTAAAATAGACAAGCAATTTTTAGTTGTGGTCTCAGGCTTTAGGACCCCACTAGCTTAACTTAAATGGTAAAAAATGGCTTTCGCAAATTCTTTGCTGTGAAATGTCAAGTTCGCTTGTAGTCACACTTTCCATTGTTTTCACCCAGTATCATCCTCTGTTTACTGAAGATTCACAACCTCCACTCATCAAGCCACAACAGAATGCTGAGCTTCCAAAAATGGGGCATAGAAAGGAAGCCTACCATCACGCTTCATGAAGAACGCCTCCAATAAGTTCACACATTTAGACCGCCGTCACATATTTAACATAACGATGAAAAAGATTAATTCCCTATCTGTATGTTCATTTTGTATGGTAATTTTTGACGAGGGTCCAAATTCTGTAATCATTTAAACACCATATCAAAATGTCGATATTGTTTTTGCATGATTTTGTTTCTTTTCATGCATCACTTCCTGCTACAATAATAAAAAAATTAAAATCCAATCTGGTCATTACTGATGAAAAAACACAGTGGTCTGTAATCTTTCCATGTAAAATTTCAATCAAATCTCAATTCTAATAATTATTAATTTAATAATAATACAATGTGTCTGTAAAAAAAAATATATATGTATATATATATATATATATATATATATATATATACACACACACACTGTAAAAAAGTGGGGCTGCCTTAAATTTTTAAGTACAATCAACTTGGATATTTTAGTCGTTTCAAATCAAATCACATTAAAATATTATTTAAAAAATGAGTTGAATCTTGTATAACTTTTCTTGTATATAATTGCTTAACTTATTCTGATGAGTTAAAGCAATCTAAAACATATTGTCATAACTTATTGACCAAATAATATATATATATATATATATATATATATATATATATATATATATATATATATATATATATGCATATAAAATGTACATACACATTCTTTAAATAATATGTATAAAAATATATAAATAAATATAAAACAATGTCTATACTCATTTATTTTATATTTAGTTTGTAAAACGTTAAAATACTGTGTAACATTACATGAACTTTTAATGAATTGAATTAGACGTATCGTTAATCATTTAACCCTCTTTTCATAAGAAATAATCTTGAAATGAAGATTCTTGTCAAATGTAAGCCATTGTTGTAGTAAGAAAGCAATGTTACAAAATGCTTAAAGCGGAAAAACATACCCACACACCACCTACAGACTTTTTCAAATGTCATAAAGCTTAAATAATGAAACATCACCCTAGCATTAAAAAAGCTATGTCTTGCAAACACTTACAAACCTATATAAGCTCAAGACCCTCCAAAAATGTGAGTTCGTTATAAACTCAACCTTTGAAATCACAATCTGCCCTAATTCTATGATTCTCTTTCTGGTTGCAATAATTTTTTTTTTTTTTTTTTTACCGAATGCTAATGAAGGGGCTGCATTTCAAAGGTTTGACATTTTGTATGACAGTAAACTCACATGTAGCTAGCAGACTTGTGTTTTCGCCTCGTCTTTTGTGTTGCTGTGGGTTTGTGGTGGTCTCTTCACCGGTGTCCGGCATGATTCTGCACGGATGTGGTTAGATTCAGTTTGAAACAGGAAACACTCAGGTTCATTTTTCTCTCTCATTAGTCCTTCATTCGACTTCAAGCTAAATTAATCAGAATGGAGATCGGTACCTCAAAAAAGGTAACAACTCACCAACTAATACTCTACATAATTCAAGGGGGATGGGGAGGGGGGAAGAAGTTAGTTTTGAAAGTTGTCAGATACTTTTACCACTTCATCACATTAAATGACCTGTTATAAAAAAAAAAAGGAACTATTGATGGTTACATAACTTGCATCCTGTGGTTCAGTTAGCTGCTAACAAATTAATGTTAACTGCATCGAAGGCTATCAAGTTCACTCATCTCACATATGAATAATTCACTTATCGTTGATCAAGTGCCATTGTGTCGGAGGGGTGAGAGCTGTATTTGTGGTAATGAATAGATAACACGCTGCAATTTGTTCTCATTTCCTCACTCTATGTAGAAGAACATCTGTAAACCTCTGAAAGAATTCAATTAGATGGAAGAGAATTATATTTTCTAAGAAAATCTTTTTTTTGTTTTGTTTATTAGTATTGATTAAGGCATGATTGAAGTCCAAAGCCAGCAAGGAGTTGTCCTTGCCCTCGTTTCTGTGGCTTGTCTTGGTTGTGTTTATGCTCTCTGTCTGTGCTGCAGAAAGAAATCTAGTAAGTGGTCTGACATCACAACAGCTTTAGAACAATGCATTATCATTTTTCTCAGCTGCTTTACCTTTATCTTACATGTGCCCTATACATATATTTGTCTTTGTCATCTGATTAAGTTGTATTTTTTATTTTGAGATATGCAACAAGAAGACAATGACCTGTATGACCAAGATCCTTTGTAAGTTAAATGTTTTATCTATTTATAAATGTTCACTAAATATTAATTCAACTATGTAATATAATGAATATATTACATAATATACATTATAGACATATATTATATACACTGTAAGAAAGTGTGGCTGCCTTAAATTTGTAAGTACAATCAACTTGGATATTTAAGTCGTTTCAAATCATATTAAAAGTATTATTTTAAAAATGAGTTGAATCTTGTATAACTTTTCTTGTATAGAATTGCTTAACTTATTGACCAAATAATATATACATATATACACTATATACATATATATATATATATATATATATATATATATATATATATATATATATATATAATAAACAATATATATATGCAAATGCGTGCTTACAAATAATGGATACTATTATTATAAAATAAATAAATAATAATAATACTATTTATAATTTTTTGATTTTAGCAATCTAGACGGTAAATTTGATGACAACAGACAATCTAACACAGGTAAACTATGTCCTCTTTCATCACATTCTGAAGAGAATTAATCACACATTTTCTGTCACAGGAAAGCTGAAATTCAGAATGCGCTCTTCGTTATCCATGAATGAGATTTTATTCCTATCTTGTCATTTTTTTAGTGATTAGACCAAACCAAAGAGAGACGCCTTCAACTTCAAGGTGAGGTCTTTTGAACAATAACCAATTCAGCTACTTGCTGTTGAGTCATTTAGTTTTATTTACTGTTATATTTACATCCACTTTACTCTTTATCTAAAATACCATATTATTTTGAGTCGGGAAAAGGGGGGTGTTCTTGTACATAACTGAAAGCCATTAGAGGCTGTAATGATTCAATTAAGAAAATTAACTGTCTTTTCTTAGTCATAATAGAAAGATCAAAATGAAGAAAACATTACAGATGTGCTAAATGTATTTTCACAGGCAATCAATGGCGAACATGCCTGCGAATAGTAAGAATTTCCTATTTAAATTTGCAATGTTTGAACTCATCTCTATGGTACCAATTTAGGGCAATTCTTTCAATATGTTGAATCATTTGGGTTATTTCAACTGTTTTCCAGCAGGTGACATCCATTGGAGTTATCAGAACCTTACAGATGGTAAGAGTCATTGTTAATACGATATTAAGATGTCACTTGTTATGATTGAATAGCATTTTTAAATATGAACATGTAGCCTAAAGTAATGCGTGTTTTTGCTTCGGCTGTAGAACGTGGCATCTTGGAACCAACATATGTGTGAGTGTTTTTTTCATAATGGTTATGTGAGGAAAACAAGTCAGATACTAATCAAAGATTTTGGTTTACAAAAGCTAAGCTTGCTCAAAATTACGCTACAGTCTGTATTTGATATGCTTTATGCCTTTTTATTTTTATAGGGACCCAATTCCAAATTCCCTTTATGCAAACGACGATGATGCAGGTAAATGTTAGTCTAATTCAACCGTTGAGCACGGTTCGCTTTCTTCAGAAAAATTAGGTCAAGTGACACATTTTAAACTGGATACCTCTGAACCGGTGATGTCAAAAAGCAGTTGATGATAAATGATTTATGTCTATTTCAATAGAGGACACAAGTCACACACTGAAAAAAAAAATAGATCATAGGTGCATGATACATTGCACAAATGGATGACAAGATGCTTAAAGCAGTTCTATTAATGATATGTCACGTCACGTTCCATACAGGAACATACGAGAATGTTTTTCCAACAAAAGACGTGCAACATGACTCAGGTTGGTGTTTTTAGCAAATATTAATGTTCAGTCACAATGTTACACACATTTATTTTATTTGTTTGTTTATTATTCGCTAGTTTGACCGTACTTTGTAATTGCCCTGACTTTCAATTTATATATATATATATATATATTTTATTATGCACGTGTTACCTAAACTTTTTGTGTGCCATTACATATTACTGTACCATTAAATAAATAAACATTGTTTCTTTGTTTATTGTTGTGTTTGGCATTGTTTCACCAGACAGCTGTAGTTATGAAAACATGAAAAATGAAAGTGAGGAAGGTAATATGTTAATTTTTGGTTTGGTTGATAAAATATTTCTATTAATTCACAAGACGGCACCACTCACTTTGTCCTTTCCCTTTTATACAGAATCAGAATACGTGAACGCACCAAAAAGAAAAACATTTGTATCAGAATGAAATGAGGTGAGAATTTTTTTAATTTTGATTTTAACATTAGATCTTATTTTTATCTTGATGTGCATTTACTGTAAAGTAAAAAAAAAAGTGTTCTATGATCAAACTTTTAATGTTAAATAATGTTCAGCTCTGCTGATCGATAAACAATGGTTCAATTCAGCTTTAGTGAACGAATATGGACTAGTGCTCTACAACTATTACAAGACCGTTTAAAATACTTCACGCAACAGGGGAACTTAATGTGTTAATAATACATATCAAGAGCTTTTTTAAGCCCGTTTCATAAAGGTGTGACAGATGAGTCAGAAAAGTAACCTGTCCTTTCCATCACAAGTTAAACAAAAAACTACTGGGGACAAAAGGTACGTTTTAGTGGGGGAACATTATATACAAACAAGTCTTATGTCTAATTTGGTGTCTGCAACTTGATAATACTTTTTCCTCCTTGCTCTAAAATTGTCATTGGCTATGTTTAAAATGAAACCTCTAAAACTATCACTTCTTCTGCTGTTCTATTTCTAACATATGGTACAACAAGGAAATGTTTTGTTGGAATTAACCTAATCATGATTTATAAATTGCCTTAAATTCTTATTAGGTAAATGGAATTAGTTCTACTATGTTGCACCTGTGCACCAAAGTACTCAGACACCAAAAACAGGTCCTTGAATCATTCACAAGCATCAAAAGGATTTTTTTTACATTTTTATTACTGCAACTTGTCATATTTGTATAATTATTCAAAATATAAAAGTTCTGGAGATTAAGAACAATGAGGAGAAGTGTGATTATTTGGTAACATCTCTTGTCTTTAGCTTGCATCAGGCGCAGCCGTCTTACTGCACAGTCGACCCAACAGACCAGCCATCTGTAACAGAGAGTTCACCCCTTCTGCCACTTTCATATGCGTGTAGCCAATTTCCTGAGGAATCAAATGTGTGATTAAAATAAAGATTGTTCTATCTCTGTACCATCACTGTTATCAGATACTTTTACTCATGGAAAAAAACAACAATAGCACTAGGCCTCAACACAATATAAGAGAATAAATTACTCTTTAAAAGTGCCTCTTTAAAGTTTAAAGCTTCTTATGGAGACTCTACAAGGGCAATAAATACCTTAATATATTCCAGCTTCAAATATTCTGCCATCTGAAAGGTCTTACACACTCTAAAGATGTTTCCGATTATGTCCTCCGGTGAGTATCCTAGTGACCAAAGCTGCTCAATAACCTGTAGAAAGAAGCATTATTTTTGTCTAGTGTCTTTTTAAAAAAGAAAGGATACGGTATATTTTCAAGGGCAAATGTTTAGTGATACCTTGTAGGCTTCATCAATGTTGGCGTTGACGCAGTGTTCTAGCATGCTTTTAACCAGCAGAGGATGAGGCTCGTCACACACCTGCACAAGCAACACTGTACTTCAATACATTTTTATCCTGAAAGGATTTCCATGCATTAGAAAGAAAACAAAACCTATCCAAAAATACCTTGAACACATTTTCACTGTTGATGTAACCAAATCCAGAATTTGTTGACTGCAAGTTATTCAGAGCCTAAATAAAAAAAAAGAAATACAGTAAAAACTGAAATAGTGTGTATACAATAGTTATAATAATAGAAAAAAATATTCAAATGGTAGGTAAATAGTAAATATATATAAATAATAATACATTATTAATCTTATTAATTTTTATTATTATCATTAATTACATGTTAATCTAAAATGCAAATAATATGTGTTATTATGTATATTAATATATACATAAAAAGCAGGGATGTGATTGTGCGAGTGAAAAAAAGCAGGACATTTTTTTAAGACCCGGCGTAAAGCACTTTTTACTTTTTAAACACCTGAATCAGCCATTTACTGCATGAACTACCAGGAACTGTGATGAGTGACACACATGGAAATATATTTAACAGCTATCATTTATTTCTAGTAATACAAAACAGGACATCTTAACTTATCTTTGGGGAAAATGTAAGGGCGATAACTGTTCTGTAGTTCTGTAAAGAAAACAACTGTGTTTCCAATACCGATCAATCTCATTCAGTAAATCAAATTCCACTTAAACTTCTACAATAGGAATAGACAACATAAAATGTTTTTTGTGTTTTGGTAAACTGCACATCATATTCTGGCTACACAGATAAAACAACCTAAGAAGAACCATTTATGAATTATATTAATGCTTTTTACGCATTAGAAAATGAAGACTACACAATCTTATCAGCATGATGAATAAATTATATTAACTGGAATAAACTGTACGTACAGAAAGGGAGAAGAGAATGTGACCGATTGAGCTTTGCGTGCTCTTTATACGCATAAATGACCTTTTACATGCATCCAATAAGCAATTTAGCGCCGTAGGCTACATATGATACGCACTTTTTTTGCCTACCAGATGCACGTATTACTTTTGCGTATAAAGAGCAAGCCTAATAAAAGCACTCGTGCTATAGGCCTAGATACGCAGTGCCAGGAACGATCGTGAGGCTGTCCATAACTTGGGTCTAGCGCGAGTTTAAGCACGCTTAAAACTCCCGTTAAAAATCACAGAAACGTGCGACATGAATCTCTTACATCGAATCTGCACTTTGTTGTTTATGATGGAAGTCAGAAGAATTCAGTCAGCGCACTGGATAAAACTATTCGTTTCAGCGATGACTAATCTGAACGCCTCTGATTGGTCATCACGCTCATAAACTCAACGGACACGAGTGCGATGGGTTAAAATGCTCAACGCTGCAAAACGAAATCTGATGGAAATGCCGTAGTCGGATGGATCGAATGAACGTTAAGTATTGTAGTTTGTTTAACTAATATGATCACTTAAGAATATTCTATTATATAAATATTTTGAAACAAATTACAATGACTTTCCCAAAACTTCCAAACACCCCCCACCACCCCCGATTTGATTTTTATTGCTGATCTTGCATGATTCACGTGGGTCATGATTTTAGGCTGAAATAACCGGAATTCCAGATTAATCCGGAAGAATCACATCCCTGAAAAAGATAATTGACCTGACCTGTCTCATGTCCCCTTGAGCGGTGAAGATAATGGCCTCAAGGCCGTCGTTGGTGACATGCAAGTTCTCCTTCTCTACCACCTCCGTGAGACGCATCATGATCTGGTCGTCTCGGAGTTTGCTGTAACGCAGAACAGCGCAGCGGGACTGGATGGGCTCTGCAACACAATGATAGGATCATCTGAAAAACCTTTGTATTATGCCTGTGCTGGCATGTACTTTTTTGAGCATGTTTAAATGACAATTATAATAAACAGCAAGCATTATGTTATTTATGTGGCACTTTGCTCACCTATGATCTTATCTGATGCATTACATGCCAGAGCAAAGCGTGTGGTTTTAGAGTAAATCTCCATGGTTCTTCTGAGAGCCTGCTGAGCTCCATCTGTCATGCTAGTTTAGAAATACGAAAACATACATTTGATAATTTTAAAAATATTTCTAATATTAACTTTTAATAGTGATGCACCAACATTTTGGTCACTGAAAATTATCGGCCGAAAATGTCCTTTAACATATGCCATGCCACCCCCTACCCCTCAGTATTTAGCGCTCAGGTTTCAGTCAATATATTGATATTTAATTGTTGCGAGCAGGACGGGGCTGAAGGCCGTTCTCTCATGACCCTCGGCCTCGTCCTGCTTCCCACGTTTTAATGTATAGTTTAGTTTAGTTTTATTTAAAGTTTGAAAAGGCAGGATATTGCAGCACAAAACCCTGAAATGTGTCAAACATAAAACATACTCAAAACAATCTTATAAATCTGATTTAAAACAAATTTAAAAAAACAGGTGAAGTAAAATAATAATAATATCATCGACTTCTGTGAGGTAGTACAACACAGACACACAGAAAAAAACCCTGAAATACATCAGGATTCATAAAATCAAGCACCTGTATGTTACTTGTAAAAAAATTGGAATAAAAGAAAGTTCATGTCTTTTTGTTTTACTCCTGGGCAAAACAAATTCCCAGCGCCACCGTAGTACATAAGTAGGTGTGGGAGCCATAGACAAGAAACAATGCAGAGGAAGAAACAGAAACAGATTTTTAGATTCATTCAAATTACTGAGTTAAAAAAAATGTATAATATTAATATAATTATACAAAGAAAAACTAATTTAAAATAAGAAATTAATAACTATAAAAAAAAGGGTAATTTTCAGTTTTCAGCCAAGTACATCAATAATTTTTGGTTTTGGCACAGAATTTTCATGTTGGTGCATCACTAATATTTTTTTCCCCTTAAAAATCAATATTTTTAATAAAAATACTTTTATTACCTGTCAGCCTCATCCAAGATTATGATCTTGTGGCGACCTTTAGGGAGTGTGACCTTTTGCTGGGCAAACATTTTAATCTTGTTTCTTACAACATCAATACCTCTGGAATAAGTAATATACAAACAAATATAAAGAAACAGACATAAAAAAAAAAAGAATATGATCACCCAAAATATCTGCAGAAAACCAGTTTGAAAACTGTCATTACTTTCCACTCACAATCCCTTCACCTTAAGTGTTTCTTACCGGTCATTTGAGGCATTCAGCTCAAGAACAGCATCTTTCATGGTCGGGCCAAGAAGAGCTCTAGCCAAACACAAAATGCTGGTAGTTTTTCCAGTACCAGGAGGACCCTAAATACAAAAGTGGTTATTGGTTTAGTGCATGCATAGTGACATATCAAACGTAAATTCAGATGGCACCTGGATGTGAAAGCATATTTTAACTTACAGCAATGATGATGTTGGGCACATTTCCTTCTCTTGCAAACACCTGCGACAATAATGGAGCAAAAGAGGGAACATGTCAATATTTCCAGAAGTCTACTCACCACATCAGGCAAATTAATACAGCACGTCGCACTAACCTCCAGTCTGCTGACAGTTTCCTCATTTCCAACTATTTCATTCAACTTCAGGGGTCTGTATTTCTCTACCCTGGAATTAATAACACACGTAAATCACAATTACTTATCACAATGAACATGAAACTGCAAAAAAAGAAGAGCTTGCTTGGCAGTTCAGTTGTTGTTGTTAAAAAAAAAATGCTGCAGGCTCGCTATCTTTTACGACATGCAATTCATTCAAATGCCACGACAGCGCGCTTACAAACAGCCACAAACAGTACCATGGTAGTTCATAAGCAGTCGTTGATGTTTTCGGTGCAGTATCATCCTTTTTAGGCTGTCCGTCGACTTGACTTTGTTCACTGTCTGTCTCTTTCATCTCAACATCCATGTTGACCGTCAGTAGCGCGTATTCCCGCCACGACAGGAACAAAACAGATCTGACATGCCGTCACTTCCGGCAAAGGGAGCCAGTGACTTTTTATTTATAAATTAATAATATTAAAAAATATAGCTGGTACTTAACAAGCTAGCAAAGAAAATGGAAAATCTGATACAATTAATTAAACAAAATTGTTTAACTTCCTTTTTACGATAATAAGCGAAAACAAGAAGCACATGAACACTTATCAAGAAGCACTAAAACAATGAAATATGAACACTTTATTATTTAAAATTAATAATGTTCTGTAATTTACACCAAAATGTTACAGAACGAGCTCATTACAAAAGAGACATAGCCTTGTTTATGATTTTACGTATAACAGCTGCCTTCTGTGATGTATATTTAGTGAATATAAATTTAAACATTATAAAATAGCCAACATTAAATCAGTATTTTTGTCTATTTTGTATTTTTCTTGTTGTTGTTGTTGTTGTTGTTTGAGGTCTTTTGAAGTGTCTTGTTTAAGTGTATTGTCTTGTTTTTTGCAATAATAATACCACATAGCGTGTCACTAAAAGACAAGACTTGATTACAATCACATATTTTCAATAATCCAAATGTATAAAAAAAGTTTACTTACGAATAAAAAGGTAGATATGAACAGGAGTGAAGGGTAAAAACTCAATTACAGTGTATGTGTGTGTACCAGGCCTTCATTTATGTGTGGAAATCTTCAGATTTATGCTGGAATTATTGATTTATTATTGTTATTATTATTATTATTTTGAAAAATTAAAAATATGAAAATTGAAGAAAAAAAAGAAAGATTTTTTTTAATAAACTTTTTTCTCTCTCTCTTTTCCCATTCATTTTTAATGTGGGGTAATGTTTACCCCAAACACCAAGAGAGTGACTTTTTTATCTTCAGAACAACCTTATATATCTTCAGAACAACCGAATCAAGCTGTGTGTGTATAGATAATGTAAAAAAATAAAAAATAAAAAAGTCACACAATTATTCAACTGAGATGAGAGGGACCATGTTTTTAACTAAAGAAAGTTCAAATGCAGTCACACTGACCCCAAACACTAAATAAAATATTGACTTGCCGGATAAAACCTGTGAAGGTTTGTTGAAACTCTTAACCTTCAGAGCATCTGTTGGCAACCTAAAGTTTCTCACACTGACAAATGGATCAGATTATCTCTTTGCATTCAAATCTAGGACAATGAAACCTAAAGAGACTGAAAATATGAAGACGATAATACACAATGCCCGACCTAAAAACAAGTAGATACCGATCGCAACAAGATCTGTGTCTGCATGCCTACAAATGAATGCTACAGATCTGTGGAGGCCAGTGCATGCCAAAAAAGACACCGTTCTTGCCGTGGTGTGCAAGTGATGTTTTTCACCATACAACAATAACATTATGAAACCAAAAAAGAAAATGTACAATTCTGATAAGAATTATTCAATAAAATTGTTTATCGTCCTCTTTCACAAGGCACACATTTTTCTACAATTCAGAAATGTCAAGAACAGTAACAATAGTTTGAAATTAATAATTTTCTGTACCTATGTTACAGATTGCACACAGTGCTAAAACAGCAGCAGATAACAAGCCCAAAAAGTATTGGAGGAAAAGTAAGTAAATAAATAATTTATGACTGATGACTGCTTCTGACCCAGATTATTGGATGCATAATCCAAGATATACTGTAAAGTAGGCTAGTTTTGCATCACTGAATATCAAATTCTGTGGTGTCAGTTGTCAATCGCACACAACAAATTACAGACTGGTAAAAATGTACTATTGAAACTCAACAATAATTAACGGACTAGAGCCTGTTCTCATCTCAAACTGCTTAACTCAAAGTTCAGAGATTTATTTAACTAAAAGCTGTTTGAATTCAACCTTCAGAGCATCTGTCGGTAAACCAAAGGTTTCTCATTTAAATCGCTTTCTGCTCGCTGCTCTGGGCTGTGAGGGGTTTGGATGGAAGGATCGAAAAAGTTTTCCCCTGGCATTGAAGAAACACTAGTCAGCAGACTAGAATTTAGAATAAAATACGTATATGTATTGAGACAAGAGAACAGTTTTCAGAATCTCTGCAGACACATATAGTTTGTTCATTTTCTCTTTATTGATTATAGTAAATGTGACAGTCTACACTTCTGGGCAAAAAAAAAAAAAGCTAAATATTTAGTGGTCTATAAATGGTCTCAGGAAATTATCAAGATTTGCACAAATACTTTTCTGATGGTTTTCAGAGACAGTAATGGCTTTAGTAGTGCATTTGCTTAAATTTAGCTGATTTCTTGACCAATAATTTGTGTTTAAGACAATCAAAAGCCTAATGTTTAGACATTTTGGGCTTGGTCTTTTTTTTGCCCATGAGTATAATAGTGATACATAATGGAGCCATAACCTACACAATACTTTGAATTTGGGCAGTGCATTGGGACCAGAGATTTGAACTAAATCTTTTAAAATCATGCTAACACATTGAGAACCAACAATATCCAAATAGCTTTTCAGTCAAAGTTATGAAATAGTGTTCTCATGTGTAATCTCATTATCAAGCTCAGATATAATGATAGTTTATGCAAAAGTTAAGCTATACACCCAAATGTCACGGTCTTGATATGAATGAAATTATTGACTAAAAGGCACTAGATATGGCTGGTTGGTTGTGAATATTGTTAAAATTGCATGCATTTTCAGTTCACGAAAATTATCTAAAATAAACATTTCTAAGAACACATTTGACAGAATTGCAAAGAACTTTGTGTAAATGCTGCAGCTGCAACCTTCACGGAGTCTGTTGGAAACCCTGATGTTTCTCACGCACGTCATTCGTATGGAGAAGCTCCATGTATAAAGGTCAGGGCAAAAGATCTCTTTTTGCTCAACACGCTGAAAACATGAAGGGGGTCATCGCTCTTCTCCTGGCTGCTCTGTGCTTCGAGGGGCTCAATGCAGAGTGTCCCGACCCAGCCACCCTGAAAGATGATTATGGAAGCAAACTCTGCGCCCAGATGTTCGAAGACAGCAGCTACTACTATGATGACAGCTGTGCTGGCAGTTTCATTCATGTCTATCCTGATGAAGACACCCCCATCATGCCACGGGCTTGGGATAACCGTATTTCCTCTTTTGTGGTGGGTCGAGGCTGCTCCCTGACAGTGTGGTCTAAATCCAAGAAGGAAGGATACAAGAAGAAGTTTTCTGCTGGCATCGTGTATCACCTTAAGGAAGTGAAGAAAGGCCTGTTTGGAAACTGGAACGATTCCATCTCTGGATACTACTGCACATGTTAGACGTGAAGCAAGACCGAAGACAGAGTCCTAAAAGACTTTAACATATAATGTCAATGATACAAAAGAACAGCTGTAAACTCTCTGTTTTCAGACATTCTGCTCATTGTAAATCTGCTCAATGCCTGCAAGTGAATTAAACACCATGTTACTGCAGGGAATCTCTGCATTCAAGACTTGGTGCATGATTATTTTTATTGTTTTAAATGTAACGAAGCAAGGGTTTTGAAAGTATTGCCAAGTTACAGTCAAGTTTTGAAAATTAACCTTTTAGTTATAAGTCAAATAAATTAACAACATCAGTGCTTGAAATGTGAAATTAAAGCATAATTTAAATTTTAGATATTTTTTTTATTCCTGGTTTCACATCAATAAACCGCTTTGTGAACATATTCAAAAGCATCTAAATATCAAAACCATTATACTGCACAATATACTGTAATGAATGGTGCAAAGGGAAGATGAGTCGTTCATGAAAGACACGTCAGATTACATCATGGTTTCATATAGGACACTATGTTGTTGTGTCCTTCTGTATATGAAAATGTCTCCCCCTCCCATATTTCAGTTCATAATTCAAGGCTGGATTTAACTACATTTCTCACATCTGCACTATACTTGTAGATCAATAAATCATGTCTGAAAACAGCTGCTAATGAGCCAGTTGACATTAAAGCCCTAGAGAGGAGCTTTGAGCCACCTGCAGTGAGCTCAACAACCAATCCTTTCCCAGGTATTAATGATGAGAACTGAAACACTTAACCACCGCTTCAGCTTCTCTGCTGGAGTCACTGTCCTTATCTGGTGCCCAATATTTATTTTCACACAAAATAATAAAATAAAATAAAATAAATCTCAAACCTACACATCAGCTTGTACAAACATCAAACTTCCACTTTAAATTCAAATGTTTTAGTCAAAAAAATATTATCTTTTGTCAGAATCAAACTTTGGCCTCAGATGACACACAAAACCCAACAAATACAAAGACTACTCCAGAGCACTAGTGAGATCAGTTCAGAACACTGTTACAAAAACCTCTTTTTGGCAATCAGGAATCATTACAGAATGTTTATTCAGAGCAGCGCCATGACAGGTGAAAGTGAGGCTGTGAGGGATAGACTTGCCGTGTTTTCACGTGCCATGTTGGCATCCGCTGTAAAAAGCTGTATAAAGCTCCTATAGATTACTTATAATTTTCCACAGCTTATATTGTCGGGAGTTTTTTGTCAACTGAAATTTCTTGGAAAGATATTTTTCCAGTGTTTCATGAGCAGAACAATCCAAAAACACATTAAATCACCCATTGGCCCATTGAAGAGATGCACGTCTGTCTCTCACAGCCTCCACAAAGATGGCGCTGCTGTGAATAAGGTCTATTACAGTATACATTCAACATACATAGAGGGGTGAGACACAGTGAAGTTTAACAGTAAGCTTTAAGAAAAGTTTATTTTCAGTACACTTCTATTAAGAGCTCTGTAAAAGAAAAGTTGAAATACCAAAGAATTGAATATAAACTTGGTATCAATACAGTATAGTGTCAGTACAGTAAAAATAAATAAATAATTCATCATATTTGCCATAGTATAACGTTTTTTTTTATCTTCTGACATGACTTTCTCTCAGTCGTCTCTCTGTTCTGCAAAAATACCAAATGTAAGAAGTACATGGCTACAAATCAATTGACAATTATGAGTTTGAGGGTGTACAACATGTGCTACAGTATTTACATAGAATAGTGAAGGTCTCCCATCTAAAGTGTGCACTGTAATTATACTGTATGTGTATAAAAACCCTATACGTAGATGAGCCTGTAGGCCAACTTCCCTCCATGCACAAGAACATGGTCAACTAGTTATATATAGCTTTGTATTTTATCAGGAACAAATGTCCTTTGACCCTATCCTCTTAATTTTCCTTTCCTCTTTGTCTTCCACCATTAGGATTCATTTTCAAAAGCACATAATCACCTGTGGCCCAAATTATATCCTGTGATTCTGAGTGGTGTGTCATCACTTTATCTACTTAATGTTTACACATGGATAAATGAGGTAATTGTGTACTTGTGTTTTCTGAATGAGAACAGGATTAAACCTGTGCAAAACGAGGACATCTGTGTAGTTTTGCAGAAAACATTGAGAAAATTGGAACGTGTGCAATGCAGGTGAAATGTGTTATTTCGAGAACTGAATGGATGGTTTGGGAAATTGGGCCAACTGAATCAGTTATAGTGTGTTAGCAATCAATAAAAACTGTAATAGTGTTTGGTCTTCACAGATTGTAAACTTTTGTTATGAGGGCATGGAAAACATCACTGTACCCTAGGACAAAAAAAGGTTGTTTCAACTTAAAAAAAAGTAATTGTTTGTGCTACCTCAAAATTTTAAGTTTAGTCAACTTGAAATGTGAAGTTGTACTTGGTGACAACTTGGATATTTAAGTTAACTAAACTTAAAATTTTAATCAGCACGAACACTTACTTTAAAAAAAAAGTTGAAACAATAATTTATTTTAACGGTGTACTAGTACAAATAATAAACATTTTTAAATTTCCATTAATTATTTTCTTCTGACCAATAATTTATTGATGATTTATCTGTCTGTTGAAATGGCACTTTTTCACAAAACATAAAAGCTCAGTGCAGCTCATTGTGTTGGCAGACAGGTATCACTCATACACTATTATGCATGACTGAGATATTCAGCTGAAGGTCACACCCCATGATGCCTGTGACTTGCCTCTTCAGCCCAATATGGGGGAGGAATAAAAGCTAATTATGAGAGGTGGCAGCCTTTCCCATCCCTCCACTCCTTACTATCTCTTCATTCAGTCCTGCAGGTCGTAATGTGTACAACAAACAATCAACGATAACAAGACGTTTCTTCTACCAGCATCACGGATACATCTGGATAAACTGTGGTAAGCCAATTGGATATATAAGCAGCATGCTGTATTAAATATATGTGTTTTGTTTTTGTAGAAACATAAAAAAAAAAAAAATGGGGGATTTATTTCTTTTAATTATCTGCAAAGTACTTGGAATCTTTAAAAAGGAAGATTTGTATTGCACTGAAACTGTGATATAATATGACGAATGGTTATACCTCATTCATATTGCATTGTAAGATTTACATATGAAAATCTATATGTTCCCAATTATAATGATTTCCATTGTGTTCAATCTATGAAAAAAATAATTAGAAAGATTTAGCAAAACTCAAAAAGAACATCCGAAACCAACGGAAACGTATTGTTTGGGTTTTTAAGCTATAACAGTAAATTAAGAAGATTGATAGTGAACGTGTCAAGTGACTGCATATTAATAAGTGAGCAGATTATTTGTGCTCTCTGGAGGATATCTGCACTCCTCTCTCCCACTGAGCCTCATCCAAAACACGACCAGCTGAGACCCAGCAAAACAATTACTGCAACTCTGCAACAGAGATGTCTTTAATAGCCTAGAGGAGCCAATAGCACTGTCTGTTTAGGGAACTAAAACATCAGACATCTGTAGAACTGGAGTTAAGCTGTTATCCACCAGATGCATTTAGCTGGACTCACCTGGGGTTTGTTTTATTCCTGCAGGGTTAATTTGGTGTCTACAGGAGAGCAGAATGTCTAATAACATGGCCAAGATTGCAGATGCACGAAAAACAGTGGAACAATTGAAACTGGAGGTTAATATTGACAGGATGATGGTAAGACACATGCCAAAAGAGTTTGGTTAGATGTATTCATTAACATAATAATAATAATAATTGCAAAAGCTATTTAAAATGAATGGGAAATGATTTAAAATAATTTGTGTTTATTTCAGGGGTAAAGAATATCAGATTTATGGGATGTTATTCCTGGATGTGTAGTGTTGGCTTGTCTCTCTTGGCACAGGTATCTAAAGCAGCAGCTGAGCTGATGGCTTACTGTGAGACCCATGCAAAAGAAGACCCCCTGGTGGCCCCCGTACCATCCTCAGAAAACCCCTTCAGAGAGAAAAAGATTTTTTGTGAAATTTTGTAGTGTTTATTTTGAATCCACAAGGTTTATTTGATTATTTTCTAGGATATTTCCAAGATATTTTTCGCTGATTCCCTAAATGTCACTTAAATGTTAACAAGTGTGAGTAATCTCTCTATCTCCCTATGTCGTCTTCAAGAACTGCGCTATTTCAGGATTCTTTGTTTTGGAATTTTCATTTATCCAGGTCACTGTTTAAATTATAATTTAGACTTTATTGATATATTATTTTTCCTCATGGTGGCGCTACAGTTTTCAAATATCTGTCAATCGTCATTCCCCCATACAGCTGCTGTGAGTGTTTGGTGAGGTTGCTTAGTCTCAGAACAGCAATAAAAGAAGAGAGAGCAAAGTTCATTCTGCTTAAGCTTTGTTTGTTTTATGTCTTTGTCTCAGCTTCCGTGAACGGTTTATACATTAACTTACAATACAATCCCTGGACAAAATCAATACCTGCATACCTTTTTTTTTCTTTAATTTGAACTATCCCTTAGGACTTATGTAGCCTATTTTACAAATTCTATTCTATAATTATCTTAATTAAACGTCAACATGTGGGCGGGCTTTAGCATATCATTAACTATGCTCTGAAGCAGTGGAGTCTCAAGAGTATATTTTTCTGTTGATATGAAAAATTGGGTACACTGTTAGACTTTTCTGTAATTTCTACAGTTATTTAAATCACCCAGTATTATACTGCTATTTCTCTTTACAGTAAATAACCAGCCCGTTCTCATCCCAAGGCGTCATCTAACTGACGCTTTTGACCATGCGTCAACATGCCGACGCACATGGTAGGCTACCCCTTAAGCGTCAATAGGAGACGCGCCTCATAGTGGTCTAACCCAGCAATAACTGTGATTCCCACTGCATCGTGGGAATTATCTGTGATGCAAAATTGTAAAAAATACAATTTTGAAGGTGGGGTTGTGTGTCATGTATTGTGAAAAGAACTGTGTTTTGTCCTGTGTTGGACATTTCCTTTTTGACTGCTTAAAATTTATTTATATTCTGCAGTTTTATGAATGTAATGGTTGATATTTCCTTATAATAATTGTATAAGCTAAACAACCAATGACTCTGCATTAATTTTGTCAAATGCTAACGTTTTGTTTAGGATTTTATGTATGTTTTTTAACAATGTCATTTGCATTTCTCTCTCTCTCTCTCAGCCTATTGATCCAATTTCGGTTTGAGATCTCTTACCTGGAACATAACCTGCCCCGGAGCAGGTTAGCTGTAGCACAAGTACTGCCTATTATTCTATATGACAGTATAAAAGCCAATAATTAAATACAATTAAGTTGTAATTAATAAATCTGAAAGCACTACCTTATAAAAAAAGTCGTTGGCACTGCAGGAGCAGATGGGCGGGGTCATCTTTACTAGAGTTGCCCGTTGCTGTCAGTCAAGCGCAGGAGGGGCGTGGTCATATTTAATAACGTAAAGCAGGTGAGCAGGTGCGCTTTTTGCAGAGAGGTAACTAGGATATTCCCATCACAAGATCCGCACAGGAGCACAGGAGCACTGGGCACCCCGCCGTGACAACACAGGCCAGCGTTCAGGTAGAGTACACAAACAAGCTAACACCTTCAACTCTACATCTTCAATTTTCGGTAGCCTACACAATAAAAAGAAAATACAATAAAATTCGTAATGCAAAAATAAAATTACCAAAGAATAATGATTTATTTTATGGACTATGTGAATAGGCTACTAATACAGCACAATCTCAAATTATTAATCTGTCTCTATAGGCGACTTTTTTGAAAGGCTAACACTTTTTGTAACATTTTACAATAAGGTTTCATTAGTTAAATACTTTTGAACTAAGAATGAACAATAGTCTTTACAGTGTTAGTTCATGTTAGTTAATACATTAACTAATGTTAACAAATGAGACCTTTTATTGTAAAGTGTTACCGAATTATAACATCATCATAAATTACAAATTTCCTTGAAACAAGCAAGAGATTTTTTTTAAATGTCTTTAATTACAGGGTTTTTATTTATATTGTTTTTGGAAAAAATAACTATTTTCTATTTCTAAGTGGCACATTTTAAACAGTAACACTAACTAACCATTGTAGGTATATTTTATCCAATGGTTACCAAGGATACATTTTTTTTTCTTAGTGATAGATAAGTTTCTATCTAGTCTGCAGAGACAAGAGTCAACTGGATTTGTAAGACAATAAACTCTCCCACACGCACACAAGTAAATAAAAGTGCTACTTGTCTACCGAGAAAAACTTGATTTCCATCCATCTCACTGGTATCCTCCTGGGCAAAAAACAAAAACAAAGGGCCAAGCCAAATTCTTATAATCTTTTGATCATTCCTCTTAAGATAAAATCTTTTCATTTGTAGGAAGCAAGCCTTTCTGCAATATTCGTCTGTATTCCAAAGCATTAAATGACATTTTACTGTGAAGTTCACCAATACAAGCAACTAAAAAGGCCCAGAACAATGAAACTCTTCATCCATGCTTCATGTGCTATAGACATGCATTTATTATTATATTTTTCAGCAGATTTTAGAAGACACCGCTCTGGAGCATCACCGTACAACTTCACACACAACTTCCCATATTCTGTCTTTGTTTTTTTCTGAGAAATGGCTTTTAAGTAGTGTATTTGCTTAAATTTAGCTATAATTCATGACCAATAGTTTGTGGTTAAGACAATCAAAAGCTTAGTGTTTAGCCATTTTGGGCTTGGCCCATTTTTTTGTGCCCAGTTGGCAAGGAAAAACTCCCCGGATCCCAACAGGTAACTAGATGATAATAGTTTCTAAGATATGAGCATTATAACCATAAATTCCTATCAATAAAAAATGTTAAATCTGCATATTTATTTCTTTAGTTAATGATTATCAGGGAGGACCTAACTGTCTATAAGCTATAAAAGCTTATGCTTATGCATAGTGAACTTTGGTGTGCATGACAAATTGACTCAAAGCCAGCTTTAAACAACAGTCTTTTTTTGGATCCTATTTTTGCGCGAGTGCACACAGACACAGACACAGACACACAGACATACAGACATGGACACGGACAAACAGACACAGACACACAGACAAAGACACAGACACACAGATACACAGACAAACACATAGTTAACATGGGAATATTTGTATTTTTGCCTTAATATATTTATATACTTTTTCATTTAGTTCACATTGTTTTGTTTTTGTTTAAAGGGCAGAATGGCCAACTTCAAGGGACATGCACTACCTGGTACATTCTTCCTGCTGTTTGGCCTGTGGTGGTCGATTAAGTACCCTTTCCGACAGATACGGAGGAAACGAGAGAGGCAACATGGAGACAGAGATAGACAAATGCACACTGTACTCTTAAACCGCATAGACTTAATTGAAGGAGCTCTAAAGATCTTTTTTGCATTTGTTGGTGAGTTACAATTGTAGTTACAGGTAACATTCTCTGTACAACGTGTAGTTGTGATATTTGCGTGGAAAAAGAAATGGCAGCTGTGGTTGCCTTGCCAGACATTTACCATAAAAAATACAGTAGCAACATTTTAGGTTTTACAGATTTAACATAAATTGACAGTAAAAAACAGTATTTCATTAAATACTGTTACCTATTAAAGTGCTTTGTACCTCTGCAATACACTGACAACCACCTAAAAACAGTCACATGATGAATCAAAGCTCATCACAATAGCTTTTCAAAAAGCTGAGAAGGTAAATATTAATATATAGAAGGTGCACAGTGTCATTCACACAAATACTAAACCCAAATGACACTAAAGTAATTTAATAAACATTAATTTAACAACAGATGTAACATAAAACACTAATGTACATAACTAAAAAGAAATAGTTATTTAAATGAAAATGTGAAGTGTAATGCAGTTTTCACTGTAAATTATACAATGACACCTTTTTCACTTCCAAAGCTGTAAATTTAACAGCAGTTTACTGTAAAATTACAATAAATGTAAGGTTAAATCTATTACAGTTTTTCACCATATAGTAAGGAAATTACTGTTAACCATTTAACAGTCTTTCATCTGTAAAATCATGATAATTTTTTACATTGTACTCTTAAAATTAACATATACAGGATGCGCATGTCTTAAAGGAATAGTTAAAAAAATATATGATTTAATTTCTTTTGTGTTACATTAAAGGAGAAGTTTAGCAGACTGTCCAAGCTGCTCTCCTCCATACAATTTTTTTTTTTTTTTTTTTTACCATTTGTTTACAAAAGATTCTGGTGTTTTACACTAAAATCTCTCCCCAGGGATCATGGCAGAGCAGTTTGTGCCTGATGGTCCTCATGCACATCTGTATCAGGGTGGCTGGGTGAAGCTGATGAATTGGCAGCACAGCACCATGTACTTGTTCTTCGGTATCTCTGGCATCGCAGACGTTCTCAGCATGACTTCTCGCCATGTGCCAGTTGGTCTTGACCGTCTCTCCCTTTCCTTGGCTCTCTTTGTGGAAGGTATCAAGCAAAATGAGCCTATAATTAAGTAAATATGCAGTGATATCCCACCATAGTACCCGCTGAAATGTCATGGCATTTCTCTTCCAGGTTTCCTTTTCTATTTCCATGTCCACAATCGTCCTCTTCTGGACCAGCACATTCACTCTCTGCTTCTGGTTGCGGTGTTTGGTGGATCCGCCACCACAATGTTGGAGGTGTTTAAGCGAGATAACACAGTGCTGGAACTTTTCAGGTGCAGTTTGGCCATCCTACAAGGAACATGGTTCTATCAGGTAAAGACAACATCTCAAACTCAGAGGTGAAGAAAATTAACCACTTAATATGATTCTGGGAAAAATCTAAATTACAATATGAAAATATTCGTTATGTTTCAGATCGGGTTTGTGCTGTTTCCTCTGAGTGGATCACCTTGGGATCAGGAAAAGCACGACAACATCATGTTCATCACCATGTGCTTCTGCTGGCATTACGCTGTGGCTCTATTGATTGTAGGCATCTGCTACTGTGGAGTTTTTTGGTGAGTGGACACTGTCATTATGGATGAACAAAAACGTTTCCTCTGTCTTTGTTTTACTTACATTGTGCCCATGATCTTTCCAGGTCTTCAAAATGGTGTGATGGAAGGCAGATAGGCGACTTGGAGATGGGGCTCAGAAAGTGTCCTGCCTCAGACTCTAGCCCCCAGAAGGCTTTGCTCCAGGAATCAGATGAAGAGTAGTTGGAGCCTGTGATGACTGCCAAGATTGAATGCACTTTTTTCTCTGCTTGCAAGCTGTCTTCCAATAGGATTTTATGAATTTATGTTTGCATAATTTATCTGCAAAAGATTCAAAAGATTTTCATGTGCACATGCCAAAAATATCTCATTAAAAAGGGACATGTAAAAATGTGGTTATCACAGGTGTCAGAAGCACTTGGCAGGATTTGACAAACCAGAGGAAAACCAGATCATGATATTCTTTTAGAATATCAAACGCATGTATGAATGACATTCACTTCTAAATACCTATAATAGATGTATGCGCATTAAAATGTATTATAATGAAATTCAAATGAGGAATATACAAGCATATAATTGTGTCACTTACACTGCATGGTCAGCTTGATTCATGTTACTTGCCACATCATGGAAATGAAGTGGTAAAAAGCAGGCAAATTATTTGTTTTACATATACACAATTCAAGTTCAAGGTCAGTCCCTAGACTGCAGTAAACAACGGCATCTGGTGTGAAGGTATGAAATGAAGGTACCAGCTGTTTAGGTTTGATTTGTGTAGCACAATCATTTATTTATTACAATACAAACAGTGGCTACTGAATATCAACAGTACTTGTTAAATTACATTTCATTAGGAGAACTTAAGATATAAAAAGCACAAATAAACAAAGTTGCCTCTGTGTAGATGTCAACATCATCTAGAGAAAGGCCATTCACTTTAACCAAGTTCAGACTGATACAAGCCATGCGCAATTGCTTCCCGGTTCACACCGATATTATATCAGCATCCAAATCATACCTCCTTTTCAACCTGCAAAAATCTAAAAAAAAATGACAGAAAAAGCTGAGTCAGGACAAGAGCAGTCCTTAGAATCTGACACCGCTTTGCCCATCCGCAACTTTCATGGGAAAGTTGAGCAGAACTTTGTGCACATGCTCTTTTTGTTTCGAGGTCTATGAATCTTTATGATGTTTTCTCTCAGAGGCTAGAGCTGTGGTATATGTCTCATTGAGGGTCTGGGTTTGTTTTTGGCGAGGGTGCAGTAGAGACCACCACCGTTGACACTGTGGATTTCGGAGAGCTGGCGGCTGTGCGCTGTAGCTGCTGAGCCGGTACGGTCTGGATTCGAACCTTGGGTAAAGAAACATACTCGGTTACAGTTAACAGACATGTATGGTTTGGCTTGTAAGACCAGTTTCAGTTTGTTTGGGAGTCAGATGAGTCAACCTGTGTGGCCTGTCCCTGCTGCTGTAGCTGCTGCAGTTGTTGAGCAGTCACAAAGCTGACTGGCTTGTTCCCGGCAATCAACTTGGTGCCTGCTGGCATGGTAGTCAAGATAATGTTCCTCCCCAGATTGCTGATACTAAAACAGAAGAAAATCAAGATTTCAAATGATTGGGACCTTAAAAACCTGATGGGGAACTACTGGTAGTTCCGTATCAGTTTGTCCAGCCTGTTTGTTTACTATAGCAATATTAGATGATGAAACGGAATGCTCACTTGGTGCTTATGTTCCCTTTAAGTATGGGGGTAGTGACCACACTCTTATTTTTCAAAGGTTGGCTGAGGACAGACAGAGGCACCGTGATCCTCGTGGGAAGCTTCCCCTGAAAAGAGCAAAGATTAGAGTTTCCAACGTCATCATAACAGGCAATTATGCATAACAAACAGTGGCTCTGCTCCAAAGCCCTGTCTACTGCATTGATAGGAAGCATCCTAACTGCAATGAACCCCTAGACTTGCAACACTAATGATGTGCTACTCTAATAAGCCTTACATATTTGTACCCTTTATTAGATGTAACTAGCCTGGGTTTCCCCATGCTGCCTTTGCGCAGCGCGACTTTATTCACGCTGCTAGGCAGCCTGGATTCCATGGACCAGATGTTCGCCTCAGCGAGGGGACCAATCACAGAACGGGGAGGGAGCACCAAGACGATGACGACGTCTATGCGACACACCAAAGCGGTTTGTTTATACCTATGGATCAAACATGGCAGCAGACGCGAAGTTACCTTTCGATCCAGCCTTAGATATTGTTCTCTGAATCTCTGACCCATCGACTTCTTCCTCGTATAATTTCTGTCGCTCTACATACGTCATCTGGTATAATTGAAACGATTGGCTATGAGCTACGTACAGGCGCATTTGATAGACATTCGTAGCACCCAATAAACGGCTCTGGGCATTCGTAAACCATGCCTCAAATACGAAAAAAAATGAGCATGTGGTTCCCAGACGTTAGCCAGGCTAAGATGAAACAGTTTTTTTATTAATACTTTTCAGGATCAATTCAATTAAGTATATTTATAATCAACATTTTTTTTTTTTTACATCTTGGATTTTTATCCACTAAGCTTGTCGCAATGCATTATGGGATTGCATTTTCTACAAAAGGAAAGGATACAAGCAATTTGGTCAAAAAACCTTATACTAGACAGCTTTTACATCAAGAATGCACCAATGATGCTGTAAGTAGGTTCTAGGTTTTGGTTTAGAATGCAATGCACACTACTGTTCAAAAGTTTGTGGTCTGTAGTTTAGTTTAGCGATTACAATTACATCATTACGCCAGTAGGTGGCGACAAGTGACATTAAACATTTATATTTGTCATTGAATTATTCATTCAAGAAATTTGTTCAAAAACGCGGATTCATCCAGTAATGAAACAAGTCAAGTCCTTATGTGTGAATCATTGAATCATTCATTCAACCCGATTTTAAAAATAAATTCAAATGAATCAAGTATTTTTTAAATAGACTGCAGCAATTAACATTTTGTCAGAATCCCTAGTAAGTTACATGTTATTTTGTTTAGTTATCACTGGTTTTGAAAGGTGCTGATGAACAGAATATCGTACTAAAAGATAAACTTACAGCTTGTGTGGCTACTACGGTAGCACTAACTGGCACCTGTCTGACTGTGGCCGCAGCAGTGCCCAGAGAAAGCGTAGAGCCTGTGGTTGCAGGGCCCAGTGTCACGCTTTTGGCCCCTCCCACTCCACTGGTGGCTATGGCAACAGTTGCTGCCCCTGATGATACCGTGACAGGCTTTGTACTTGTGGTGGTTGTGCTAATTGAGACAGTTTGACCGTGTTTCTGAGGAATCACACCAAGGTTTGGCACTATTCGAATAGTGGTTCCTGCTTTAGAGTCAGACGAGGTGACGGTTGAGAATGTACGGGCCTTGGGGTCAGTCATAGTGACGGCCAGGGCCGGCATGAGGCGGATGGCCGTGTCACAGGCGGCCTTCAGCTCAGGGTGAACTTTTACTAGGGTGGCGGTGCCCGTGGTAGGCACTTTGGCAGCCAGGTTCTCAGTTGTTGTGGATGCAGTGGTGATCGAGGTAGGGGGTGAAGGCTGGGATGGAGACACATGTAGCGTGGCAGAGATGCTCTTGCTGCCTGAGCTTGTGGCACTGCTCAGCATTTCTGGGGTGAGTTTGACAGTGGCCATTGGAGATTTAGTAAGGGTGGCCATCATGTCCGGAGTGATGCGAAGTACCGTCTGACCTTTGGCGTCAGTCGTAATTGAGGAGGGGGGCAAGCGGAGCACATCCTTCCCCTGAATGCGTAGGTTAGTGGCGGTGAGAGGGATCCCGGCCCCACTCTGGGTCTTTACACCTAACTGCCCAGTGATCGCAACCTGGTTAAAACAAAAGTGAGAGAGATTTGACAGGGAAATAGAACAGACAATATACTCGGTTTGTCATACTGTGTTTTAATTAGGGATGCACTGATACATTCTAGCTAAATATAAATGATTTTTTTTATTTTTTTTTTATTTTTGTTATGGCCAATAACTGATAAATGGCTAATATATATATTTTTAATTTGTATTGTTTTTCCATTATACAAGGAACATGTACAATGACCAAGATATATTTCTACAATAAAATAAAAACATTAAAATTATTTTGGTTACAAAATTGGTACCAAACATGTATTGGTATTTCCAGTTCCAGAAAAGCGAGGTTTTTTTTTGTTTTTTGTTTTTTAAGCAAGCAACCAATCCTGGAAATTAATAATATTGAAATCTGTATTATTTTTACTAAATCAAATTTAACATTTTAAATGCTGAGTGAATTCAAAGTAAATTTAGGCATCATAACATTATAATGTACAGTATAAAAAGTATATTTATTTTGAGATTGAAGTTATTAGTGTTTTTAATGATTAACTTTAAACATTAAAGGACAGCAAATGTAATCTAAATGTTAAAATAAGGGAAATTATGATGTAGATATCCAACATCTGATAAGATATATATATATATATAAAAAAAACATTTACAACGGCCAATAAACAATATACTGATATATTGTGCATCCTCAGTTTAGATAGATAGATACTTTATAAATCCTTCTCAGGAAATTAGATTTGTTACAATAGCAGCAACCACATTCAGTCCTCGCACATAGACAACATCAATCTATCTACAATCATAAAACAAAACTTTCACTAAAGCATTTTATACCCTATAATATATTAACTGAAACATGCTATATAACCTATAATGATAATACTAAAAACAAATAATACACAAACAAAATTAACTAAAGCATACAACCCCTATTTTAATAATATTAAGAACATAGGTAAAACAATATAAGAATAAATAAATTAATATAAATCAGACATCAGACTCAGTTATTAGTTATTGCACATTAAAGAGCCTAATAGCAGCAGGCAGACTTACGATGCCGTTCAGTTTTACATTTTGGTTGAATCTCCCTGCCACTGAATGTGCACTGTCGAAACACCTCTAGGGCATGTAATGGGTGTATATCATAGCGCATGATAATGTTTATTTGTCTCAACAATCTCACCTTATATTAGGTGTAAACAGAGTCTAATGCATTCTGAGTAGGTTTGTACCTGTTTGATGATATTCTGGCTGGTGACACCCTGCAATACAGCAGGCGATGTTGGTTTGTGTGCCGGGCTGGAGGGGGAACTCATCTGAGGTTTGGTTACTGTGACACCAGATGCAAGACCTGGAACAGTAAGATTGGCCTGACCCCGTGAAGCCTGCACCTGAATG